AATATCAGCTTAACATGTTACTTTCCATTTGTATTCTTAAGAAATATGTTACACTACAAAAGTTGAAAGCATTTAAATGTTATTTTGTGAATCAAATTGTCTTTGATGTCTTTGAGTGGCATTTTATTTTTATATTTTCAGTTTTTGATATTTTATGTGATTTTGACAATTTTTTTTACTGTTTTTCTTTCTATTTAGCTTTTGTTTTTGTTTAAATTTGTTTGAGTGAGTTTAATACTTAAACTTACTTTATTACACCGTGTCCTAACTACACGCGACGCGATAAAATTCCAGCGACAGCAAGTGTGTCTGTCCACACTAGACGCGACGCGACTGTGAGACGCCACACATTCAGAACAGCGTGTGAGCAGAGTCTCTTCTCTATGAAAGTGCACTGTTGGCCCACACTCGCATTGGAAATGGGTAAGGACATAATCAAATCAAGAAATAACATTATTACAAATCTAAACATTAACTAAACATACTCATTGACTAATTTTGTTATGAAGTACAGTTGTCTGTTTGCATAGAATTCATTTTGAACGAAATCTGAGGGAAATTATCCGTTATCGCTTGTGGCACAGTGACCTATTTTTAACTAGAAATAAATAATGTGTACTCATAACCAGTGTAATTTCATCATTCTGTCAGCTGCGACGTCGCAGAAATAGGAACTAGGAATAATTTCTAAATTAGAAACTTCGCGTGTCGCCGTCGCGTCTGGTTAGGACAAAAACTCTGATTAAAATGGAAAAGATACCTTATCGCGTGTAGTTAGGACACGGTGTTAGAATTATTCGCCAACATTGAGTTTTTTTTTTTAATCTAATAACAATATTTTATTTAACTTTATTTGAATTAACAGAAAAATGCAATCACTATACTATAGATATTTAAACTTTGCTAATGATTAATGATTTTGCTCTATATGTATTTGCAAGTTTCATTGTAACGAGTAATTATTTAAGACATTCAAAATTGAATTCTTTCAAAGAATCATGCTATTGATTATCCTGGCCTTGTAGGGCTACTTGTGCTAACTTGGACTTGACTGACCTTTGTAAGAGCCAGAGGTCAGCAGGACCAAAGGTTAGATCTATTGTCTGGATGATCAATTGAGTGGATAGGAGAGATCATTCCAGACAATTTGACTGACATATCAATGCTTCAGACAGTAAATATGCATAAGCTTTTGTTTTCTGAAGAATTAAATCACACGTACAATACCCTGTCCTCTCTGTTCTATTGCTGTAAAATCACAACAAGGGTCTCAGTGTGCAAGTGTCAGTGTATAATACAATTCATGTTCTCCCTTGTGATCTTAATCTGCAATAATTTCAGCTACTATCACCTCCTTGTCTGTTTCCCAGGCTAAAAGCCCAGCAGCCAACATCCTCCTTAAAATGGCTTGAGAAGTGACCCTGCTGACCTCTGGCTCTGATCTGAATCTGAGATTGGTCTGCTCTAGCTCCTGCTTAAAATTGCGGTGCATATGCTGGGCTGTGTAATGGCCTCGGGGCCCTCCCTAGCAACAAGAGAACAAATGAACAATTCATCATCGGCAGCTGTCCGCCAGGCCCAGGTGACTACATACCCCCACCTTTGACAAAAAAAATAAATAAAAAAAAACATGGGGGGCAGCTTTTAATCGGACAAACACTAATTGGATGGTCTGGAAAGATTAGAGGAGCCCCCTGGAGCTACTGTTCTCATCAATAGAGGCATCTTCACGCCTGCCTCGAACACAGATCAGAGAAAACCTCACTGTTCAGACCTCTCAGAGGAGGAGACACCCAATCAAATCACAAAAATGACGCCACACAAAGAGGCCATGTGAAATTATATCAAAATAACTTATATATATGTTTTTTATGTGCTATTTTCATAAGGTGAATGGAGGTACTGTCCTATAGGTGTTCAACAAGATGATATACTGGAAATTTCAATCATATGTGAACTACTAATGTCCCTGGTTTTCATTTTAGAAATCTGGTCACCTCAGTCTTTCAGTGCAGGTTGGACCTCTGCCTTTCATTTGCAAGCGGGTGAGATTAATTCTTTGTTCTTACAGTTTTGTGCTGGACTTGAGCCAAGAGCTTAATTTAACGATATGAGTTTCTACATGTGTAATGTGGAAGGTGCTGCACAGATGCTTGGAGTCTCACAATATCCACCCCACACTGAGCAGTCACTCACACATTATGTTTTTGTCTGAACGTAAAGCTTCCAACAGTGAGTTAAATGGAATATTTATGTCTTGGGATTGGGAAAGAAAGTCCAAATTAGACATAAGCTTGAGGAGTCATTTGATCTCTTCTATGATTAGCTGGTGACAATGATATCAATTGCACACTTCAGCCCTCCTACCTGCGAACTTAATAGGTGAAATCTGCTGTTTTGACTGTCATCTCACCAGTTATCTCACCTCTACCCCTCCTATTTCTCCATACAACACACTGAGGACCTGGTGATTTTTACCTCCAACCCAGCTCATGCTATCAAATGTCCCATGACTTCTTGGAATGTTACCAGACAAGGCCCATTCTCCACTCATCACCAGTCAGACCTTTCAGAGTAGCTACAAAGTTTAATTTGATGTGATATTATATTGAGATAATATTGAAAGTATATCTTTACACAATCTTTCTGCAGGCAAAAACTCTGGAAAATGTGTGCTGTAAAAAATTAAGCATGACCATGAGTCCATTATACAGTATGTATTATGAACTGAACAAAATTATAAACGCAACACTTTTGCCATGTGCTCACAATGAACCAGACTAAATAAACAAAAGACAAACTGGGAATCTCAGAGCTCTGTCACCAACCAGAATATAACCCTGACAGAAGTCACAAAACCCTGACAGCGGAATTTCCACCAGAGCTGTTGCCCATGAATTGAATGTTCATTTCTCTACCATAAGCTTGTTAATTCTCATTTCAGAGAATTTGGCAGTACATCCAACCGGCCTCACAAGCACAGACCACGTGTAACCACACCAGCCCAGGACCCCCACATCCAGCATTTTCACCTTCAAGATCATCTTAGACCATCCACCCGGACAGCTGCTGCAACAATAGGTTTGCTTAACCAAAGAATTTTGACATGACTACTGAAACTAAGGTCTGACTCCAGCCATTGAATAGGAGTGGATCAACATTCCACAGGCCACAATCAACAACCTGATGCGAATGAGATGTGTTGCACTGCGTGAGGCAAATGGTGGTCACACAAGATACTGGCTGGTTTTCATTCAAACACCTTTCAGAGTGGCCTTTTATTGTGGCCAGCCTAAGGCACACCTGTGCAATAATCATGTTGTCTAATCAGCATCTTGAAATGCCTCACCTGTGAGGTGGATGGATTATCTCGGCAAAGGAGAAGTGCTCTCTATGTTTACACGGAAACGATTCTGAAGAGAAAACGCAAAAGTGGTGTTGCGTTATCACTTTTTATTCTGCGTTTACACTAGTGATTTGGGTGGGAAATCCGCGTGCAAATGGTGACACAAAAGTGTGTGAAATTCAATGTAGTATGCACTCCAGGCGGCTAGGAGTGCATACTACAACAACACCACGTCCAACAAGTCCACGCGCCTGCGTACAACCTTCACTGTCAAGCAGACTTTCGCGTTTTTACCCTTTACACGGGAACGGGACGGTAGAGCGTTTTTAAGATTTCCACTCTGAAGGGTGGTTTCACTTTTTTGCGTTTTTAAGCCTCAAAAACACGAAAGGCACATCCGATAAAACGTTTTTTTTTTTTTTTTTACGTTTTCACCTACGAGCGTTCTCGTGTAAACAGGGCCTTACACAGATTTATACAGATTTGTGAACAATATTTGAGAGGAAAACGCCTTTTGTGTATATAGAAAAATTCTTAGATCTTTGAGTTCAGCTCATGAAAAATGGGTGGAAAAACAAAAGTGTTGCGTTTATCATTTTGTTCAGTGTATACATCAATTAAACATGTCCACTCTGACTTTGATTCTGATTTGCCATTGTAATGTATAAATTAACCTTTCATTCGTCATATATAATAGTTCTCCATTGTTTTCTTTTGGCTTCTTCGTTAACATGGCTTCATTGGTATAGGACGGTGTGATATCATACAGACAGTGGGGCCCCTGTGCAAGCCAGCAGCCAGGCTTGTGGTCTGATCATTAGTCTGTGAGTGAGTCCATTTGAGTGCACTTAGCACATTGAGCTGGCCCACTGTTACAGCCCTTCTCATAATTTGCTAACACCTTTGGCTGCAAAGGCGGCTAACTTGTCACTCACCATTTGACTCTCACACTTTAGGAGTTGTTTCCGTAGGAGAGGTGAGATAATTCGTCCTACCCACAGGTGAATTTTTAAGTAATTGTCAGGTTTGAAAACAACTCTGTCAGATTAAACAAAAAAGCAGGTATATATATATATATATATATATATATATATATATATATATAGAGAGAGAGAGAGAGTAGTACAAGATATGAAATTTAGAGGATAAATTGTCTTTAATTGTCTTGTGCTTTTTGTCTTTCTCTCTAATCTCAATTTACAAGTCCTCTATTGGCATGATTATTTTACATAAAATATTGCCATATAAACAATAAATATTACAATTATTTGAGCAAACCATGATATAATTTATTTCAGGATTCTTTGATGAATAGAAAGTAAAAAAAAAAAAAAACAGCATTTCTTTGAACGATTTTTGAAGTTCTGTATCAATTACAAACTATTACTATTGACCTATAAAGACCTAAATGGTCTAGCTCCTGTGTATTTAATGGACCTTCTATCACCATAAAATCCATTGTGTTCTTTAAGATCACTAAATTTGGGGTTTCTGGTCATTCCTAGTGTAACCCTTGGCTAAATGTATTACAAAACTGACTACGCCACCTAGGTTACTTCTCCACCCAGGAAAGTAAAAAAAATAAACCCCAAAGGAATTACAAAAATAAGAAGGACCCTGCTGGTTCAGATGGCGTCAAAGACAGAGACGTGACTTCAAAAGTATACAAAGTTTATTTTGTACGAGGGACATTAATTTTAAAACATCTAAAAATAGGTCTCATACACAATTACCAATTAAATACCCACAGCAAATAAGAGACCGTAATTAATCCGCAATAGCTGAAGAGACAAACCACACAACAATCAGTGAACAAAATCAAAGCAAGTGATAAACAATTCAAAAGAAACCAAACAAAAAAAAGCAAATACACTCTCCTCTTCAGCTAAGCCTCATATCACAGGTCAAATCATTCACATGTGGACATACCTGGCAAATACAGTGTTCAAGATCAAAGAAAGGAAAAAAAGAAAGAAAAATACATCAACACAATTAATCTTTAAAATTGTTCCGGCTGCTGTTACAGACCAAACTTCTCGTTGTTCTAGTTCACTTTAATAGTCCATATAAAACACGCATGCCCAATAATTCAGCAACCCTCATACAGACCAGTCAGGGCAGAGACTGTGGAAGAGCTCGGTCACTACAGCGGTTCGAAACCGCAAACGTCCAATCACTACAGCCAGCCGACAAACAGCGACACCACGAGTATAGAACCCCTAAGAAAACAGCAGCTAGCGCTCTGGACCACACCTGAAATGATACAGTAACAGCACAAAATAGTGTATCAATTTCTAAAGAGTTCCCCCTTCAAGAATTAAGAAAGACCCCAATAATTTGTCTTACCTCAAAGTGAAAGATCAATTAGGCTACAGTAAGCTTTATGCAACCTGCGCTCGCCACTGCACGCACATCCCTAATGACAACACATATTTAGACGGTGATCTATAACTGGAGAAGAGCAATAAGTCAAAGGACTCACCAGGGAATAGCTACAGGAAATATCACCATTTAGACTTTTGTTACACGCAGTACGGAGAAGAATGACAATGATGCCTTTAGACAAACTTTTTATAGAGCCGCCGGGACCCAACAAACCTCCCTAATTGAGCCACACAGGTGTATTCAATATCGTGCCGTGGCTCAATTCCGCTGGGCGTGTCTTCCCATTAAAACAACTCAGAAACTCTTAACCGGTCACACTAGGATATCTACGTCCACTAAAGGAGGGAGGGCGTTCTCACATTTAGCTCCTAAACTCTGGAATAGCCTTCCTAATATTGTTCGAGGCTCAGACTCGCTGTCCAATTTAAAACTAGATTAAAGACGTATCTCTTTAGCCGAGCATTCACATAATCACCAGCGATGAGATGACTAAACGCCTGTGAAGAGACGACTCGACGCCTGTGAAGAGACGACTCAACGCCGGCAATATGTTATGCCCTAAATTAATTTAACTGTATTTTTTCTATGTATATCTCTGAAATGCAGAGATAAAGCTTTGAAATAATATGTATTGTGAAAAGCACTATACAAATAAATTTGAATCGAATTGAATTTTGGAAATGTCTGGACAGTATAATGTCACTTTTGATCTTTTTAATATATCTCTGCTGAATAAAATTATTTATTTATTTTCTTTTTTCACATCTTACCCCACACATTTGAATTGTAGTGTATCATAGTTTTTATTAAAAAAATATTAAGTAGCAAAAACAGTTTTTAACATTGATAGTAATAAGAAATAATAATAATAATAATAAGACTAATAATAAATGCTGTAAAGGTGCAAAATATATCCCTTTCAGATGCAAAATTTATGGGAAGAGATTATTTAAATGAATGGTGTTGCACCATTATTTACTGCCCCAAAAAGTCTTAAACCAGATTCTACCTTATAGATACGTATAGCTTTCCAATCCCATTGCCGCTGTTTTGGAATTGCAATCTCACGCTAATTTTCCATTTAGTTAATCTGGCCCCTGTTATTTATTAAGATGCGTTTTGGTTGATCTAATCAAAAGTGAATGCTGGACCATATTAGAATCCAGGAATGGTGAGAGTACATTGTGCTTGGTACGTTTTATATCTTCAAACCAAACTTGGGTCTCTAGCCGACAAAGTTTAAATCCAGTCTGGCTAGCGTGCTTCCCATAATGTTTACGCATTAGGTCAGTATGTGGAGAGTAGGCAGTCTTTTGTGGCTGTTCGGGAGCATACGACCACATGAGCGTTTACACTACAAAAACTAAAGTTTTTCAACAACTGAAGTGATCGAAAGTGGACAAGCTCAAACCAGAATCCGTTTATGTATTTAGTGTCATCCACTTGTGATTTGAACTGCCAAAACACATCTTAACACAAGGTGAAAACAGGGACTTCTTTCAAAATCATTTCATTTAATCATACTATTTTATGTTAATAAAATAGAAAAAAATAAAATGCAATGAATTACAATAAAAATAATAACAAAATCATCAAAATATTCACAGACATACTACTCTTTTCTACAATGAATGAACAAACACATTCTGTCTCCTTCTCCCTCCCTTCCTTTTTCTTGTTTACGTCTCATCGATAAATGGCCACCACAGATGTGGCTTTTTTTTTCTTTCATCTTTCATGCTCAAAAGAACATGAGACCCATTTTACTACAACCCCCCTGCCCTGAGCCGCTTCAGGCTATACATGAGACAGTCTGGCCAAGCTGAACACACCAGAGCAAAATAATACCCAAAGGCCTCTACTCTAGGGATTACTCCAGTCTCTCTCCTCTCAGGCCTTTCTGCCTTCCAGCTGCAGGGGCCTCCTGTGATCCTGGGCCACTGTCCTGCACCCACGGGGGGAATGAGGGATGCTGGGCCGTGTGTGGCTTTGCTGGAGAGAGTCTATGGGGTTTAAAGTGTGTGTGTGACCGCAGTACGGCTGTATGTTGTGCTCAGTCAAACGGTTAAATGCAGCTTTTTGTCCACCCACAGCTGCTGCTGTCCGCGTGCCACCTTTCCTCTGTCTGAATTTGTGTTGTTGTGATTGTTTATGCCCAAGTCCTGTCAGGCGGCCAACAACAGCGCTGCGGTCAACAATCTCCCTGGGCTCCCATGGGGCCTCTTTGCACATCTTTCCTTCCTTTAGCCTGCTAGTGACCTTGCGTTTGTGATCATAACCCCTATTTCCTGATTGCTAACATTGCTGTGGTAAATTTAGCGTTACAATGGTTTATTGATCATTATATGTATCTGTACAAGATTACATAATTTGCTTATAGTTGCTGATCAAAGGCTTTTATTGACTTTAAATAAGTGTTGTTTAGAGGGGGATCGTCTTCGCAGCTCATGGTTTCTAAGTTGTAGCCTTGGCCGAGCCACTGGAGACCATTTTAGGGCTTGATATTCTTAAGTGTATGGATGGATGTCAATGCATACGACGTATAATTCTTTCAGAGAGCTATTCTTCCTGAAGGTCGGTGAGGCAGGGTGGATGCATTTGTTCCCTCTGGGGCACAGAGGACAGAGAACGGCGTTTGTTCATAGACACAGCTGTTGATTGTTATTGGATGTTGGCTAGCACCAAGGTCTCTGAGAAGCAGAGAGCCAGAACCAGAGAGTATTCACAGTATTCACTATTGTTGTGCTTAATGGACAGAAAATTACAGACAGGAGCTGCCATGTTCTGCCTTTGTCTCTTGCACACAAAGGAACCAGAAGACAATTTGAGTCTTGAACCAAAGAGACGAGAAATCAGAATCCTTTTCAAAGGATAAGTCACTCAAATACATTGCTAGAAAGCTTGACCATGTTGGCTACTCTATTCTCACTCCTGTTCCGTCTCTATTGTTCAGTCCGAACTCAAGTTTTCCACTTTCCCCTACATCATCTGTTTTATTTTCACATTGCACTTTTAAATATGGTTTGTTTGCCTCATCGACGTGAGCTAATAGCTAGAGCTAGAAGTTTTGAATACAAGAGTCTTGTAAATCCGATTGAGTCACTGTGGGATGTGCTGGACCAACTCAAGTTCTCTTTCAAGGGAACTCGAGCTGCGTCAAATGCTGTGGGAACGCCCCTGTGTGAGTGCGTCCTGAAGCACGTATGGAACCAGTCCAATGGCGAGACGGAACGTCATAGGCGGGTGAATCACAACCGCGTCTGCTTTTCTACCTTCAGCAACCAGTCTGTATGTGAATCATTATCCAGTGTGTTTTTTGTCTGTCTTCAGTTTCACTAGGCAGGAGTTTTCATATATATATATATATATATATCATCCTCTGATAGCTACTTCCAGCAGGATAATGCACCATGTCACAAAGCTGGAATCAATTCAAATTGGTTTCTTGAACATGACAATGAGTTCACTGTACTAAAATGGCGCCCACAGTCACCAGATCTCAACCCAATAGAGCATCTTTGGGATGTGGTGGAACAGGAGCTTAGTGCCCTGGGTGTACATCCCACAAATCTCCATTAACTGCAAGATGCTATCCTATCAATATGGGCCAACATTAAAAAAAAAATGCTTTCAGCACATAGTTGAATCAATGGCGTGTAGAATTAAGGCAGTTCTGAAGGCGAAAGGGGGTCAAACAGTATTAGTATGGTGTTCCTAATAATCCTTTAGGTGAGTGTATTTGTACTGTGGTGAGCGATCAACTATAGGAAGTGTGTTCCTCTCTGCACTCACTATTTTATGGGTGGGGATATACACCAACTATGTGTTGTTTGTTTGGGAGTGCAGCATGCCCAGTCAGTTCTCGAGGGGGCTGATTGTGATCATTGCAAGCCTTTCTAAGTAAATCAGAGAAAAAAAAAAAAAATAGAACGCTCCGCTGTTTCGTCGTGCCAAAGAATAAAAAAAATTAAAAAAATTTAAAAAAAACGTTGCATGCCTGCGTCAGACTGTGGACATGATTTATAGTGAGTTATTAAAATCGCGATAATCAAGCACGGTTTTAATGATAATGAAATTTTAAACGATAATACTAACCGTCAGTACATTTTATCGTGGTTTATAGTGAAACCGGTAATCGTCTCATCCCTACTCAGGACCAAGAGGTTCTCCCCGAGGGGAAACCCACTTTGCACGATCAAAGTCACGTGGTGCTGCCTTCATGCTTTGGTCATGTGGAAAGAACCTTGGTTCCTGCCCCAGGGACCCGTGTGGGTAGCTCTTTGTCATCATGTAACACTAACGACTGATGCCTCCCTCTTGGGCTGGGGGGCGATCATGAGTGGTCGCCCAGCCCAAGGTCTGTGGCAGGACCATCATCTCTCGTGGCACATAAATTGTTAAGAAATGTTGGTCATGTTTCAGTCTCTGAAACACTTCCTCCCAGACCTGAGATGTCAACATCTGTGGTCTCTTATGTAAATAATCAAGTGGGTCTGCTTCCGTGCCCATTATACAAGCTGGCTCGTCAGATCCTCATTTGGACCCAGGAGAAGCTTCTTTCATTGAGGCCAATTCATATCCAATGGGTATCTAAATCAGGGGGCAGACATCCTGTTGAGGCAGGGGCCGAGGGCCGGGGAATTGAGAGTCCACACCGAGGTGGTGGAGCTCTTGTGGGAGAGTTTTGGTCGTGCCGAGGTAGACCCAGGAGTTCTGGAAAGGGTTCACCGGGACGGGTTCAGTCTTGCTGGCCCGAGTATGGTTTGCGGACCTAGTTTCTCTCCTCAGCGGCTCTCCTCTGGAGATTCTGATCAGGAGGGACCTACTCTCTTGAGTGGTATGATTCTTCCCCCCGTCCAGAGCTGTGGAAACTGTGGGCTTGGCTTCTGAGGAGGGCCAGCTCATAAGTTCAGTTCTCTCATCTCCCACTCCAAAGCTCCGTCCACGAGGAAGTTATATGCGCTGAAGTGGAAATTTTTCACATCATGGTGTGGTGAAGACAGGTTGGACCCAGTAAACTGCCCAGTGGGTGCAGTGCTGGGGTTCACAGTCCACAGGGTTATCCCCGTCCACACTGAAGCTTTACGTGGCAATTTAAAAAAAAAAAAAAAATTGCCTGGTATGGTGAAGGCTTTTCTCCACCCTAGACCAGGCTACATTCCTAAGTTTCCTACTAATAT